ACCGGAACTCTTCCCCTCGTATCTTCCTTATAACGCGGTTTCCCACAAAATTTGCAACTATCTCTGTTCTCATCCTCTCCCCAATAGATCATGCAGTTGTCGATACATACATCTATCACCTGATACGGTAAACAAAGACCCGCTACAAGTTTCTGGACCTCGTAGTATGAACCCGGTGCAAGATTATCTTCTGGTAGAATACCTTTAACAAAATCCGCAATCGCATCCACGCATTCTTCAGCCAAATTATAATCTGTCTTAATACCCATCAATCTAGTTGCAGATGATAAGGGTGAATGACCATCTCTGCAACCTTTATACAAAGGTTGTTTTCCTGCATCCAACATGTCAAAAAAATCTCCTCGACTCTGCAATGGGTTCTTCCCCTCTATAATGGTCATGTACCATCTGCTCAGTACCAACCCCATAATCTACATCCGTTCTAGGTTCTTCTACCCTATCAACAGGTTCTTCTACCCTATCAACAGGCTGAGGTTCGCTAGTACTACCGTATTCATAACCAGTTTCTCCATGAAGATACCAAACCTTATAATTCGGTGTAAACCCTCTCATNTCTTGCGTAAGTAAATTGGTGTTTGGATCCATATGTGGTTTATCCATCCAAGAACGAAAATAATTGTAAGAAGACATTTTTCGAATGAGAGAGTGAAGAGTGAGCAAAGAGAGAGTGAAGAGAGTGAATGAGGTGAAGGAGGAGAGGTTGTATTTATAAGAAATTTCATACGGTAATCCGACGGAATTCCGACGGATTTTAAAAATACCAACGGCTATATATAAACGGTCATATTCTTTTTGCAACGGACAGAATATTTGTCGGAATTCCGTCGGAATTTACCGACGAATTTCCGACGACCCCAACGGTCAAATAATTTATCGGGATATCGTCGGAATATCTTCAGAATTTTCCAACCACATATGTTTCCGTCGGAATGTTCGTCAGGATTTCCAGTGTTTTCTTGTAGTGGAACTCTGTTTGAACTAAAGACGAAATTATCTTCACCGCCTGCAATGGTAGGGTGAGTACTCCAGGCAGACTCAAGGGAGTCCCTTGGCACAGCTAACTGAAACATGGGCTTTTAGACCCCCATTTTTTAGAGGCTCCCAATTTTAAAAATTTCACTAGATTTTGACCCGTGTTTAAGAAGCACGGATATTTTTTTTGTTGACCGTAAAGACAAATATTAAATGAATTTATAACTATTATATACATATTATTTAAAAATTGTTCTACTATTGTTATTCGTCTATTCGTACAGATAGATCTATTTAAAAGAATATGCAAGACCGTTATTAATCCACTGAAAAATATATTTTTTACATATCAATATATATTTGACTTGCATAAGAATAAATTTTTGTACGTAAAATTTGATTAAGCATTTGTGTTATTTGTAATTTTTGCAATATATATTATATTTAGATTTTGATCCGCGTTTTGAAAGCACGGTTTTTTTTTGAATTATAAAAAAAAATTTGGTTTGTTATACAATATTAATTTACAAAGTTGTATTATATAGAAGAAATTTTTTAAAAAAAAAAAAATATATATATATATATATATATATATATAATTTATGAATTAGTGTATTTGAGATTTTGTATGTACGTTTTTATGTAACTCTCTCTTAGAGTTTTGGGCCTCAATATTTTACTCGGACTCAAAAAATTGAATCGAAACCGATTCAATAATACATGTTCAGTTTGGTTGGGTCCGGTTAAAAACATATTGGGTGTTTTCTAGACCTGCGGGCTGCGGGTATCTATCCGAGTTTAAGTTCTATCTGAGGCCCAATCAGACATCTAAAATACCCAAAAATATTTGAGTATATTAGGTAAATTTCGTTATTTCAAATAACTTTTCAGTATTATATATATTTTTTATGTGTTGAGTTCAGATTTTTGGTAATAATTTTTGGTTTCGAATAAAATTTCAATTTTTAGAAATATAATTTTGGCGTCCAAATAAAATTTTGGTAGTTTTTGTTTTTCTTGGTCAGATTTCAGATAAAATTTGGGTTTTCAGATACTTCAAAAAAAATTCGGGTCCTAAATTCCTGAATCGATTTGAGCTGTATAAGTTATATGTATCCAGAAATCACATATTTACAGCTATTTGAATTTGAATCTGAACCTAGTTGGATCCGAAAAGAACCGACGCAAGCCGATTTTTTTTTAAAAATGTCTAGTTAATAATAATAACATACAAATAAACATGAGTTAGAGGTTATCTTTGATAGTGAAAAATTTATATTAAGAGTTAAAATGTTCATATCGAAATCATCATATAGTTTTCGATTAACAAAATAAAAATTTCTATCAAGGTATTAAATTGTTCGTAAGATACATTAATATGATTATGGGGAGAATAATATTGTTTTAGTTGCTATTAATATGGTCATTAATAATAATGTTGTATGGTTAGAGAAAATAAAGGAGAAGTCCAAAAATTAAAAAGGATAGGGTCCAAACAACTTTCATAGGTAGATTTATTTAAACTCATTCTCTTTTAATAGTATAGATTATAAGTTTTCATAATTAATTTTAGATTTCACTGTTTTGTAAAGTAAAAAAAATATACCAATATCAAATGAATTAAAGTCAAATCCATTATTAATATGTCATGAAAAAAATAAAAATAAGAAAACATTCAAAATAAAATAGATTTACAATTAGATAGGGCCCCAATTTTTTTTTTGTTGGGCCTCCTTAACTATAGGGACGCCCCTGCCAGCAGTCGAGCCATTATCGAGCATCCGAGCAGAATCACCAGTCACCAGCAGGGCTGGACTTGGACAAATGCTAAGTATAACATTTGCCAATTGCCACCCCAAATTTTTTTAAAAAAAATTACAAAGATAATAGCCAATAGGTCCCCAAAATTATTTTAATTAGACCCTAACTTTTTTAAAAATCTATATAATCCTACAAAATCCGGTGGTTTGATGTTCTACTAGGTATCTGTTAAGTTTGTAACTTCAGTTTCTCCGTAACCTCTTCGTAACTATTCTCCTTAAACGAACACTGATTACAAGTTGCCTAAGGATAACTCTCACGATCGGATGTCTCATGGCGACACTTCATTCACGTCATCATTCAGCATGCCCTCTCAGTACTCCTCTATTTAAGGAAACATAGAATCTTCATTTGCAGAGCCTCTCTCCAGGTTAGAGTCTTTGGTTGTTCTCTTCCTTTTCTCTTGACTAAGTCAGCTTAAGTCAACTATATAATTGACTTTCTCTGTTTCTTCAGATACTAGCTACTTATGCACTTATCAGTATTCATCCAATTTTACTAGAAGAATGTACCAAACGTAGAAGCTTTGGGTGTAACTATAAGATTGTAATTGTATCCTTTCTCTCCCTTACAATGCCATGAAAGTAGGAGACCCTTTGTTTCTATGAAACAGAGAGAAGATAAAAGAGTATAAACATCTATAAAATCCTGGTATAGATTGTTACATGATTGAAGGCCTAGGATAGTTTACAGCTTCCGGAGATTTGTTGTTGCTCTTGTTCTCATCACGAAGATTCTGCTGCTCTTCTCTTATTGTTTCCTTTGGGACATGAAGTTCTTCAAGTGTCTTGACGACATCCTTCATGTCCGGTCTAACCTTGTAATCTATAGATATGCAATCAAGTGCAAGACCTGCCATTTTCAAAGCCCTGGTTAACGAGTATTGACCTTGTAGACGAGGATCCATCACTCGGAGTAGCCTTCTTTTGTTTGCTAAGTAAGGTCTTGCCCAATCCACTAGACTGTGTTCTCCTACTGGTTGGTTCTTGTCTATTGCTCGTCTTCCTGATAACAGCTCCAGTAACACAACCCCGAAACTGTACACATCGCTCTTTGCCGATAAATGACCTTTCACAAAAATTTGAACAAAAACATCATTTCTTTGTATATTGAACAGAAAAAAGCTAGAGAAAATGCACATGTATACATACCGGTGGCTAGATATTCAGGAGCAGCGTATCCTTGAGTTCCCACGACTCTGGTAGTTACATGGCTAATGTCACCCATTGGACCATCTCTAGCCAAGCCGAAGTCTGAAAGCTTTGCGTTGTAGTTCTGCAGATACATACAGAGAGTGTAACAGTAAATATAAAACAAAGCTAAACACAAAAGTATCAATCAATCAATCATGGGTTGACTCATACCGAATCTAGCAAGATGTTGGATGCTTTGAAGTCTCGGTATATAACTTGCGGTTGAGCATTGTGTAGAAAAGCTAGTCCTCTAGCTGCACCAAGAGCCATTCGAACCCGTGTGTTCCATGAAAGTGGCTGAAAGAATGTTCCTTCTTTTGTATTTTTTTGAGAAATCAGATTAAAAAAAGAAAAGATTAAATCATTTATGTAAAAACAGATTCCCTTCTTTTTTTTTGAAGAGATGTGAACTTACTTCTGAATAAGTGATTCTCTAGGCTACCACGAGGCATGAACTCGTATACAAGTAGCCTTTGCTCTTCATCTAAGCAATATCCAATCAACTTCACAAGGTTAGGATGATCAAGCTGGCCTAAATAATTAATCTCCGCCTGTTTTTTTTTCAAGAAAATAAAAGGTTCTTGAAATGGACTCTTGTGAAAATAACAAAACAAAGAGATGTGACTAACCAGCCATTCTCGATGACCTTGAAGGCCTTCTTGGTTAAGTCTTTTCACTGCAATAACGACTCCATTCCCCGGTTTAGCAGGAGCCAAGGAAGTCTCATCGATCCATCCTTTGAAAACGCGACCAAAACCGCCTTCACCAACCATACTATCAGGCCTGAAGTTCCTCGTTGCAGACTTTAGTTCACTGAGGCTGAAGTTCTTCAGGTTAGCATTTTGCAAGATCTCGCCTTCTGTTCGAGGCATATGAGAGAAGGAAGTAGTCGACGACGAGCCCTTGCTCCCATCCCTGCTCAAGAACTTCGAACTCAGCCCTACAAAGAAATCTTCTCTCAGATCATTTAAAAAAAAAAAGAAAAAATCACAAGCCAATGCGTTTAGATTGTAATTATGTAAAGAGTGGTTTGTGATATGATTCTTTGGCTCTTCAAATCTAGCTAGAACTATAACCATATAATTGTCAGAGATTGAACTCCTCTTACTAATAGTGGAAACAAAATGGACTTCTACTCTGAACAATATAAACCTTTCTAATTCAGGACAAAACAAGTGTGGAGGAAGCGCATTCATTGTTTTTTGTTTTTTGGTAAATCATTCATTGAAATTTAATAAACAATAATAAGAAGAAGAAGAGAAAGGCAAGAAAAGTTGACCAAAGACTCACATGTACTAGAAGCAATATCTGTTCTGATCTGATTGCTGAAACAAGCTCCCATTTAAACAAACAAGAAACCAAATCACTCACTGAAACTCTATACTCTTTGATCAAAAAGAAGAAAGAAAGAGACGGATAAGAGCTTTATGTGCGTAAAACACAAACCCAGAAGACGTACGTTATGGAGCGAAAATTAAAATAAAATAAAGAAGACTCAAGTAAACTCCAAAACTGAAGAAAGAAAAACGAAGGTTCCTCAAAGAGAAGAAAGGAAAACAAATGTTAATAAGGCTGGCTAGCTAATAATGAAACTTCATTCATAACTTTTATGCCTACACCATTTGTTCTCTCAGGAAAAAAAAAGTATTTTGTGATAAAATGATGATTTTGTTTGAAACAAAAAGGAGTGTGAAAGATGTGTTTTTTAGTTATTAATCATTATCTTTTCCGGTGGGACTTTGTTTACTTCCTCATCCTTCTCTGTTCATCGTTGACTTATTGACTTTGTTTGTCATAAGACTTTGGAGTCTATCATACTCTAAAGGGCAACGATAAATGTACCGTATATAGGGGTGGGCACGGATCGGATATCCGGGTTTTTTAAGGTATTTGTGATTTGCTTCGAATGTTACGAATATCTAATTTTGGTATTTGCTTTGCTTCGAAAAAATACGGATATCCGGAAAAACGGATATCCGGGAAATAAATAGATATTTGCGGATATTTACGAATATTTACGGATATCTCATTAGTTTTGATTAATAG